TAGTAACAAATTAGTAAGAATTTACTGACTCCCGGTGCAGCAATTGTACTTAATATAACAGACAACATATAAACATCTAAAATAAGTACCTCGTTGTTGTAACTACTCAGGATCCCCCTCTCAAAAAGTAACTGGTATAATAGTTATCCACGAATGACATTTATGGCACAATTTGCGCCTAGGAATTAGGCGAATTATGAGGAACCACACTTGTAAACATGAGCGCGTGCGACCGCACAGGCTTGCGCTGACAGGTCGGTCAAAATCCCTTGGATTTTATTGCTCCGCAAAATGCGCACGGTGTCCACTGCGTTATTATTATCAAATGGTAGGGTTATCGCTACATAACATAAATTGAATCAACACGAAAATGAAATTTAAGGCCGGCTGATGAAATTTCCGCGCGAAACTGCATTAACATGCAAATATAAAAATATTACACGGATAAACGAATAACGTAAATATTGGACATGAATCAGAGGTTACGGGTTCGAAACCCATTTCGAGCAGCCTGTTATCAGGCAGCAGTGACAAAGATTTTCACTTCAAATATAGATAGCAATATGTTTCCAAGTGAAAATAGCCTCACCCGGCATTGCTGCACCAATAAATTGCTGCCCTATTACAGAAATTGTAATAATGATATATCATACAAGATGTATTGATCAAACAGACTAGTATTAAGTCAATTAGCAATGATTGTTGTTCCAAAATAATTTTTAAAAATTTAAAAAAAATGTAAATATTGTGTATTATCGTAAGAAGTGAGTATGACAAGCTAAACATTTACAATAATTTTAGGATTTAAAACATACTATCAGAACTTTTCGGTAAAAGTTGAATATTTTGATAAAAAAGCTCAACTAGTGGGTAAAACGACTGGACCTTGGAATCAGAGGTCAAGCAAAGAGTAACATCGGTTTTCATTTGGAAACATAGATAGCAATATGTTTCCAAGTGAACATAGACCTCTTCCGGCTTTACAGCGTTAATAAAATATTTTCTCCATTACAACACTTGTAATAATAAAATTTATCAGACTATAAGCTAGTCAGACTACTGAAATTTCAGATAAATTGGAAAATCACAAAAAAATATAGTGAGACACAATATATACAAGAATTATACATAGTATTATTCGTAATTTCATTGGGCATCTCTTTTCCAAATAATTATTTGTAATATTTATTTATTTATTTATTTATTTATTTAAATATATAGCCCACAGATTTCTCCAAGAGGACTCAAAAATACAATTATTTGACATAATGAATAACAATTAAAATATACACAAAATTACAATATATAGTTAGTAACATAAAATGCTAAGATAAAATTTCATATAATGCAGAATGTAACAATAATATTTATAAATAGAAAAATATTAATAATAGTTTCCTAAAATTTTAAGCAGTTTAAGCTTATTAGAAATAAAATAATTCTCTATTATTTGACAGGATATTTTGGCTCAAGTTTTCTATTTAATCAGTAATCATTTTACTTTGTTGTCATGTTTGTAACACTTTCTAAAAGATGGAAAAGCACCCTACGCATAATGAGGTGGTACAGGTAAAAGCAAACTTTGTTCGCAAAGTTAAGAAAGTGACCTAAATCCTCAACTATAAAATTATTCACAAGCACACGGTAACAAGTAAAGACGTTCTACATCGATGAAACTAACTACACATCGTTAGCGAATGTTAACGCAAGTCTAGAGTGTGATTCGAGACTCGAAAGGTGTAGACAGGAGACAACCCGTCGTGAGATCTTAGAAAACCCTTTTGGAAATCCAATGGCGCGTACACATTCACTTATTGTTTTGTGTTTACACAATCCAGCGGGGTATTTGGCCCAAAGATTCACCCTCGTGGGTGAGCTGTACTCGAAAGTCCTTTTCTAACTCATTCAAGGCACCACCTCGGCAAGCGAGACGAAGAGCCCGGCTCCGACTTGTCAATCAGAATCCGGCCGCTCCGCAACGCACGGAGCATTGTCTTATTTTACAAGATTAATGTACTTGTAAGATGTAATCCCGGCAAATAACCCGTGAGCTTGTTCGCCAAATAAGATTATGATGTTCTATAGGCAATAAAGCTATAAATTTGTCAACGTTGTGCCGGCTGTTAGCTCGTACGATGTTTTGCGCGTCTTCTTCGGGATTGGGGCGGGATACCGCTTATTGTTTTCACAGTTTTTGGAATACCCAAGGACGAAAGGCTCAGGTATCCTTACTTCAACTACGTGCTGAGTGAATCGTGTGATAAAGGGATGCTGAGTCATTGTTAGAGATTCGAGTGTATCAATTATGTTTCACTTTCACAGTGTAAATATGATTTACAGATATTTGTTTTGACGTGTTTAATTAACCAGAAAGTATAGGTAAAAAAACGCATAGGTAGAAACACGTAAAGACCTATTGAGATGTGTATATTATGTTGGATGATTTTCTTTCATTTGGAGTATAAGATGAATACTATTGGTAATTGTACCGATATTAGAAAATTCAAGTTTATTACTGTTAAGTATAAAAAAATGTTTCTGTACATTTGAGTACCTTAAATCATAATTTACTACCTGCAACGTGCCCTAAAACAATGAGATTTTCTATCAATACATACTTCAAGCACGATTTCCTTAAACAGCTCTCAATTTTAATATTTTCGTTGAATATAAATATAAATATATATCCCTTGGTATCGAAGAAACCTTCGCCCCCTAAGGATAAATACATATATAGGGGTTATGAATAAAACAAAATTCTAAACGGGCTCTGAAATATTTCAAGCCGAGCATACGAGTTTGATTTTGTGAAATAGGATAACTTTTAAAAAGTTTGTTATTTTGAAACAAAGCATGGGAAAGAGACAAACCACTTGAGATATGATAATATATGGCTGCAGTTAAATGAAATTTTCTTACTGTTTTACTACGATATTCTTCGATACTTTTAATATGCAATTAAAGTAATTTTAAATAGAACGTTATTAATGTTATATACTTTTTATTACAGATTTTAATTTGGAACCAATGACTAACAATTCGATGGCATCGTCGAAACGAGCTAGAACTGCATATACGAGTGCTCAACTTGTCGAACTTGAAAAGGAGTTTCAATTCAACAAGTATCTTTGTCGTCCAAGACGCATAGAGTTAGCAAATCACCTGACGCTCACAGAACGTCAAATTAAGATCTGGTTCCAAAATCGTCGCATGAAATACAAGAAGGAACATAAAACTAAATCATCTTCATCAAATCATAATTCTGTGGATTCCGATAACGCAGCTTCGCCCTCGCCTTCATCGGGATCAAACCCGAGTCCAGGCCCTGGTGGAAAATCTCGCTCGGTGAGTAACACGCTCACAAGTGATCAGCAGATTGTAAACAGATTGATGGCCCATTCTCCCCATGGACAAACTCTACCTTCGTACGTAAGTGCCACCAGAGGATACACCAGTGCAGCTCTTCGTCACAAACCATACCAGATCTACAAGCCAACGGTCTACGCAGGCGGTGTAATGACTAATTACAACAACAATAACAATATCAAATCAAATACTATTAACAGAATGCCAATTCAATCTCAAGATTTAGAATCAATTGCCGAATATTTTAATGCAAAAAACTTCCAAAATGATACACCCATTCAGCAACAGATGAGCTATCAACAACCTCCACCAAACTATGCCAGTAGTATTCTATTGCAACAACAAATGCAAGCAGTAGACAACAGCACAACAACCAGCAACATCAAGTACAAGCACAAATTGAGCAGCAAGTTTCGCCCCAAAACCAAACGCTTTATGGGGATGGTGAAAATTCATCAGAACATGACATTCTCTTAGATCCATCGTGGGAAAGCGCTCCAGTCTCACAAGAAACACCAGTTTTTACTGATCTTTGAACCAGTAAGTAAAGACGACCAGTGCACAAAGAATGATTATGAAGTTTGAATTTAGAAAATATATCAATAAACGTTATGTATAGTTATGTAATTATTAATTTTATTTATAGTATTCTACAAACTAATAAAATAATTTATAAACAATCTTGTAACTAGCATTTGGCTGGGTTCAAAAAATGCATTTGTATATGTATATATAATTAAATTAAGAAACAAAATGTTTACTTAAATAGGAATGCAATAAGCATGTTAAAAGTATTATTAATTAATGGTACACATTTTGAAAGTGATGTAAAATAATCCGAATTTTGTTTAATATTACTTTAGATAAAAAATTAATAAGAATGAAACTTAATATTTTAAAAATTATTTTTATTTTACATTTACTTGCGAAATAAAATATTCAGTGACTTATTTGAAAGAAGAAAGTATTTTAAATGTAAGAGAAATGTGCAATGAGTGTGTGATTCTGATATTAGTACATATGAAGTTTTTGTAATTATTTAAATCAATTACAAATTCAATTGATATATTTTAGAAGATAAAGGCAGTATATTTTAAACAAGCTTAGGGTCTTGGACTAACGTGCAATATTTGTGTATATTTAAAAAATTATGTATAATTATAATTATGATAAAAATGTTTAAATATAGTTATGATTAGTCAAAAGTTATTTTTAAACTATGTACCACGTAAAATGTAAAATCGAATTAATAATAAAATTTATATGATTAATGTGATGTTTTTGAAATTAATTCCTTAATAAAATTCTGAGACAACAATTTATAAAATGTGCCAATCATTCACTGAGTTTCTGCAATTTTAATGATCCTCAGAACTTTGGACACTTGATTATTATAAAATTGTTAATATTTGTGTTTTGAGTTTGGAAGAACATGAAGACTTAAATATTACTACATACCAAAGTTTGCAATTCTAGGATGTATTACTGGGTAACTAACTCTACAGAGAGTAGAAAATACAAAATATATGTAATATAAATTACAAATGTTCTCATAAGATTACTATAGTTGGCTATGAAGTTTTGTTACTCCTATAGATCAATATTTGAAACTCTAGTAAAAAAAATTTTGATAGTTGCGCAACCAAAACATAGAAAATAATGAGAATTTTGACACTTGATTATTATAAAATTGTTAATATTTGTGTTTTGAGTTTGGAAGAACATGAAGACTTAAATATCTACTGCATACCAAAGTTTGCAATTCTAGGATGTATTACTGGGTAACTAACTCTACAGAGAGTAGAAAATACAAAATATATGTAATATAAATTACAAATGTTCTCATAAGATTACTATAGTTGGCTATGAAGTTTTGTTACTCCTATAGATCAATATTTGAAACTCTAGTAAAAAAATTTTGATAGTTGCGCAACCAAAACATAGAAAATAATGAGAATATTATAGACTTGTTCGTAACGATGATACAAAATTGAAACTAGAGGTGCATGGCATTGTGCTTCAAGGCAAATTGCTGAAACTACCCGTACCGTAATCAATCTCTGTTTTAGAAACGAAGTAATAAGCGCGTAAGCGCCGCTTTGCAGACCAACGGTTAAACATAATAAATCTTGGTACGGAACCTATAGAAATTCATACAAAAACAATATTTGTACCTATTAAAATCTTTATAAGATATCTGAAAATTGTGTGCATTTGTCTATTGATAATTTTTGACCCCCAATTTGGCTTTTTTTAAACTTTTTATTGGATCTACAAAACCGCTGACCCTGTCTTTCAAAAAATTTTACAGTTCTTCATTATGTCAATACAAGTGATATGCTTTTTGAATCATTTACATCTGACGCATTGTCCTCTCAAAAATTTAATTGCAAATTTTGCCACTATTTGCCCCGTACCATAAAACGGCCGGACCTGCCTTTGCCAGAAACTAATCAGCACGTTGTTGTCTCATTAATACAAATCGCATGTTTTCTAAATCATTTAAATCGGTTGATGCTTGTTCTCAAAAACGTCGGCTAAAAATTGTACCCGCCGTACATAAACACTACACCCATACACAAATACATCAATTTTTTCGAATGATAAAGCTCAAAAACCTCGAAAAAATAAAAATATGCTAAAATTTTCTTTTTGATTCCTTTGCGATTATTATCATTTACCCTACGCGGGGTGTTAATTATCTCTGACTGCAGATGCAGGCTTTTCAACATATCAAACAGGTGCAAGATAAATCTTAAAATTGCAAAGTTATAGTATTAGGAATATTTAATTTTGCTAATTTTGTCAAAATTTTTAAAACAATTTTATTTCAGTGAGAAAAAAAAACATCTGTGACAGATGGATAGATAGATGAAAGAATGAGCTTACGGCAAAATGGGTACCAAGGATAAAAGCATTAAAATTAGTAAAACAGTTCCAAAAATAATATTTTTAAATAATATATTCATAAGTTTTCATTAGCACTCGACATACAACAGGGATTGAATATTATTAACTAATATTGCATATTTCATTTTATACATTGGATATCGTGAACTGCAGATACCTGTCTCGTTAGTATATGTACAGACAGTGCCGGCTTTAGGGTAGGGCGAGTTGGGCGACCGCCCTGGGCGCCGGCAAAAAGGGGCGCCGCAGGCGCCCCCCGGCTTATGCTCATAGTTCGAGGTCTGCTTAGTCGTAAATTCCATAAATTAAGCGTTTTTTGTCTATTGTCAAAACACATTGTCTATCTCCTTTTAACGTTTTGGTTAAAAAAGCTAGCGTTATTGCAGCGAAGCGTAACAAACTCAGCTCATTCGCATTGGCCACAAACTTGCCACTTGGTCAGTCACTCGAAATGGCAAAATCATTGATCACATAATTACTGGCCCAGTGCAAACTCACATTGATAATTATCCGAAGAATGATACAGGCCGACATTTCTCTAATTCTCATTTCACAAAAATGCTTGCAAACAATGAAACAATTCAGCATTCCAACAATTCCGTTGGTTAATTTACTCCGTTCTAAGAATCGAGTTTATTGCTTTTGTTGTAGACTATTTGATACTAGCTCAACGTCGAACTTAGTATCTGAAGGGTATAACAACTGGAAATACTTGTCTGAAATTTAAAAAAATCATGTAAATAGCACTTTTCATAAGAAGCTGGATTGAAGCTGAACTACGATTAAAAATAGGATAAACAAAAGACTGCCAAGAGCAACACTTGATTAGAAAGGAAACTAAAAGATGGAATAATGTTTTGTCTAGATTGATGCATATCACACTTTATTTAGCCGAAAACAATATGGCGTTCAGAGGCACTTCTGACAAACTATATACGCCAAATAACGAAAAGTTCTTAGGCTTTGTACAACTACTAGCCAAATTTGATCTAGTCATGCAGGAGCACTTGCGATTAGCTATGAAGGGTGATATTTCAGACCACTCAGCTTCTGTTCATCGATTGAAAAATTCTAACCGATCACTTGGAATTATATACTATAAAAAAGCACAGTGACACTCGTTGGGAAGCAAGAATAAGTAGTGTTAAAGCAGTCCGTTATCAAATTAGTACTATCCATGATGCTTTGATTACTTTGGCTCTTGAAACTCAGAAAACTGATGTTCAAATGTCTCATGAGGCTACTACACTAGCCGAACAACTAGAAGATTTCAGCTTCATAGTTTCATTGGTTGTTTGGTATGACATACTTCATCAAATAAATGTTGTAAGTAAATCTCTACAGTCAACAGATATGGATTTTACAAGCGCTATTTTAACTGTGAAGGAGTTGGCCGAAAAACTAGAAATTGAACCTGAATTTCGAGCTACAACAAGAATTCGACGTATTAAGCGTCAAGCTGGTAAAATTGCACGCGATGACCCTATAACTTCTCCAGAAAAAAAATGAGGTTGAATTTTTCAACTGTCTTTTGAACACTATATTAATTTCAATCAATGAAAGGTTCGAACAGTTAAATGAGTACTTGGATTCTTGGTCTTTTTTGTACAATATTAAACAGATTCCAGAAAAACGCGACCTTCTCAAGCTCTGTAGTGATCTTCAATTAAAATTAACTGTAGACTCTAAATCAGACATAGATGGTTGTATGTTGTGTGATGAACTTATAAGTCTGGCATCCTTTTTACCTGATAAAAATGTGGTTACTCCCATTTTTGTTTAAATTTCATCAACGATTTCAACTTACAAGAACTGTATCCAAATGCATGGATATCATTGCGAATTTTATTAACTATACCTGTAACGGTTGCTAGTGGGGAGCGGAGTTTTTCAAAGCTGAAGCTGATAAAAACCTATCTTCGATCAGCGATTTTTCAATCTAGATTGACAAACTTAGCAACTTTGTCAATTAAAAACGAAATTGCTGAAAACATCGAGATCGACAACCTTATAAAAGAGTTCGCTGATAGAAAGACCAGAAAAATATAATTCTATTAGTGTTTATGTAATAAATGGTTATCTTTTATCATAAATAATTATTTTTTTTAATAAACGGTTATTTCATTAGATGTTTTTCATTTTTCCAAATGGGTTTGAATTGCAGGTGAAGGGCGCCGTAGAAATCTCGCCCAGGGCGCTGGTAGCGTTAAAGCCGGCCCTGTGTACAGAGCTGATGGCCCTTTTGATTTCCCCAGAAATGTGCGGCTTGATTTGGATTACGCAAACTAATCCAAAACTGAATTATATTGAAAGCTCGCGCACGCTGCTGCGATATGAACATCGTGCCGTTACACAGGATACAAAACAAGCACCTCTCTAGGATACAACAACCCATACCACATGGTGTGCTATTAATCGGTTTATGCTAAAAGGGTTTAAATTTCAGATTACAGTACAGAAGCAAGATGTTTGCGATATTATAATAATTAAAAAATTACAAAGTTTCAAATCTGATAAATGGATTGTCTGATTTTTAACCGATTTTTAAACGGATTTTTATGATGTAA